GGAGCTTTGCATACCTTTGTGAGTGAGGCAATCTTGCCTTTTTCTCCAGGTTCAGACACAGGGACTTGTACCTGTGCATAATATGTTCTTGTCCTGTGATCTGGTACAGGGTTCAGCAGAGGTTGGTGTTCGTCCCAAACTGCCGGTTGAGGGTGTTGACATCAGTTTAGGAAATTACCTGGCAGGTGGACATGTCTCGCCCAATGATGTAAGACCGGAGAGTGTACCAATACCTGATGTGTAAGTGCCAACACGAAAGATATGTGCTTCATCCCATGAATCTTTAGAGGTCGCTGCACCAGAGCAAGCTGTTTCTACAATCTATGCTCCAGAACCACAAGGGGTGCTGAATCAGAACAAGCTGTGTCTCCAGTTTGTGCAGTAACTCGTGCAATGACTACCACCTTGGCTCATAGGGCAGTGATTTCAGAAAAGTCTGGCGTAAACACATTTTCATTGTCATTGCTATCTGATCTTTCTGTTTCTTATTCAGAGCTGGTGAAAGGACAAAGAGAGGACCAGTCTCTGAAGGACATGCACGGCCTAGCTTTGCCTACATCTCAGGTAGAAAGTGAAGCAGGGATATTTCCTCCACCACATCCTCTTGTAGAAGGTGCGGGCTCCTCATGGAGAGGCATTAAGTGGTGATCCAAACTGTGCTAATCGAGATATAAGACCTGCTCCTTTGTATCCAATACCTGCGGTCAGTCAGCCATTTGAACATCTGATTATCGACTGTGTGGGCCCTCTTCCCCTTTCCAAGCCAGGTTGTTCTTACTTGTTAACTAATGTGCCAGTCAACTAGATATCCAGCCATTTACCGACTCTCTACAAAATCTGCAGTTAAAGCCCTCAGCCAGTTCATTTCTGTTTGGAATCCCAAAATAAATCAGTGACCAAGGGACAAATTTTACATCTCGGTTGTTTGCACAAGTCCTCAAACAACTTCACATAAAACATAACCTGGCCTCAGCATACCATCCACAGATGGATCCCCCACAAAACTAATTAATTATGCTCATGGCTTTGCAAAAAGACTCTATGAGGCTGTGGAAATGGCAAAACAGATATTGCAAGTCTCAGAAAAAATTGAAAAGATTATTGTTTGATTACAGAGAGCTACAGGATTTTAGTGCTGGCGATCAGGTTTTGGTTTTGCTGCCACTCACTGACTCCTTTTCAGGCTTAATTCTTTGGTCTATGCAATGTAATTCATTATGTTTCAGAACAAAATTACCTGATTGAAATAAATAAAGAGATAAAGAAAATAAAAATCTGACATGTTAATCTGTTGAAACCTCTGTCCCTTTGGATAAGGCTGCACTTGAGGAGGAGGAAATCTCATTTAACGTTATGTTGTTACTGCTATATTTCAGGCTCATTGTGGCAGTTTACAGTAGCATATTTATGAGCTTGTCATAATATATTGTATTGTCAGTTAGTCTCATACATGATTTTATATGTGTATTGTACAGTTACAGATCAGCACTGTATTTCTTTGTTTATTACTTTTCACGGAGCTTCAGCGTAAAGAGGAAGAAAATAAATACAAATGCACCGTTTGAAACTCTCTGCGTCTCTTATTGAAACCAAGCAACCGCTACCATAGCAACAAATGAATGAGCCTGAAGCAAATTACAGCATTCATCCAACAGGTGGACACCTGAAGACATTCATTTTACCATCATATATGGCAAAGAGAAGCAGAAAGTCATCACATTTTACAAAGTGGAACGGACGAATTGTTTGGCATTTTTGCACACGTTTCACAGCGCTGTATTAGCCATTACCCATAATGCAATTCAATTCAATTCCAATAACAATTCCAGAACCAGTCTCGTGCTTTGTGGCGTCACATAATGACTAGTGACATCACACACAAGCTCTCGTTCTCCGAGGTTGTATATAGGAGTCGTTTCTGTCTTCAGACTCACTTCCACACTCCCACAGGACCCGTGGTTGGAAGCTCTGTTCTGCCGGATCGCAGCCCACTGACACACGGCTGCGGTGGAGGCCCACATATCCTGCCGGTTCCACGCCCCGGCCCCTGCGATATGCAGCGGCTGGAGCGTCGGCAGGACGGGCTAAGCGTGGTCCGGTCCTCAGAGCTTTCAGGAGTCCTCCGTGGGAGCAGGGGGCGGGCGGCCAGTAGGGAGACCCGGGAGATTCTCCCGGTGACCTGAGGCCACCTGTCCGCCCCCAGTGGATTCAAACTTTAGTAAAATCTATTAGTATAGGCAAAAAAACAAATAAAAAACAAACAAAATAAACAAACTGACTGGAAGCCGAATGCTAGCGGCTAACATGCAGAACCAAAATGACATCAAACACAATCAAATAATCACATGATACCAATATTCATTATCATTGATTATTCATCACACATATCTGCAGCAGCAGGTGGAGCTACTGGACCAATCACAGCAGCTCCTCTAATCAATAACAAACATTTTAATCAGCCAAGAATTCAGCCTGAAACTTTCCTCAAAACACACAAATATACAGTTAAATATCATCTGAGCTCAGCCCACATCTTAAATACAAACACCTGTAATGTAGTGTCCATCAACCCTTTTTGCTGTTTCATTAACACAGTCCATGAAATGAATGTCCTATAGTGACATTTCCTGTTTTTCTTCACTGGCTTTCTCAGGGAAATCATGATCAAACTGTTGCACCAACAGTTCCTCCACACTTGCAATGGAAATGCGATTGACAGAAATACTTTGAACATTTTCAGATGGAGTAGTGCAAACATCACTCCTGAGAGGGCCGTTGATAACCCAGCCCAGGATTGTTCAAACTGCATATGGACCGTCATCTTCACTGTAAATAACTTCCCACGCTTCCATAGCCTTGTAAACATCACATCCTATTAGAAGTCCAATGCCTGCATTTATTTGTGGGAACTCGATTCATTGAAGGTGTGGCCACTGCAATGTTCTCTTTGGCATGCTTTGGCATCAAATTCAGGCAGCCAAGACAGAGAAAAGAGACTTGCATGTCATATTTTTGGATTTAGCAAATGCGTTTGGTTCAGTGCCACATAGCCTTATTTGGGAGGCAATTGATTATTTTAGAGTGCCTGGAGTAGTGGTTAATTTAGCAAGGTCATATTTCCAAGATATTAGACTATGCTTAAGTACAGCGGACTTTACGACAGGGTGGCAGAGGCTAGAAATAGGCATTATGGCAGGGTGCACGATTTCTCCATTGGCATTCACAATGGCGATGGAGGTAATCATTAGGCCTACGTGGATGACATGACGTTGATAACTACAACGGTGCCATGTATGAAAAGAGTACTTGAGAGACTTAATTAAAACTTAAAGTGGGCTAGTATGAAAATCAAGCCTAGTAAGTCTAGAAGTATCTCAATAAGTAGAGTGAAGTTAAGTGATAGGAAGTTTGTAATAGATGAAGAGGAAATTCCAATAATTAGGGAAAAATCAGTAAAGAGTCTAGGTAGGTGGTACAAGGCAGACTTGAAGGACGGAGAACAGGTAGTGCAGTTTCGGAAAGATGTTGCCGAGGGACTGGATAGAATAGATAAATCAGGGCTTCCAGGAAAATTGAAGTTGTGGTGTTTGCAGTTCGGATTATTTCCCAGACTGATGTGGCCACTGTCTGTATATGAGATTCCATTATCTGCTGCAGAAAAAATGGAAAGATTAGTTAGCTTTTACATTAGGAAGTGGCTAGGTGTTCCTAGATGTTTAAGTACGGTGGCACTGTATGGGAAAGGCATACTTCAGCTCCCAGTAACTAGTCTAGTGGAGGAGTTTAAATGTACTAAGGTTAGGACAGAGCTCCTGTTATCTGGGAGTAAAGATGTGGTAGTCAGTAAGGTGGTTCCAAACCCAATCAAGGGGAGAAAGTGGAATCCAAGAATGGCAGTGCAGGAGGCAGAAGCAACGCTCAGGCATACAGAGATTGTGGGTAATGTCCAAATAGGCCGGGGAGGCTTGGGGCTTGGCCCAGGCAAACCGGTGTGGAGTAGAGCAGGTCCCAAGGAAAAGAGAAAGCTAGTGGTGGAACAGGTTCGTAGACAGGAGGAGATATTAAGGGGTGCAAAGGCAGTGGCTCAGGCTAAGCAGGGACAGTGGTTGAATTGGGAAGGTGTAGATAAGAAAAAGCTTAGCTGGAAAGAGCTGTGGAGTATGGAGGAAAGTAGCATTAGATTTTTGATAGGGGCAACATATGATGTATTGCCAACTCCCCAGAACCTAAAACTCTGGGTAAATGGAGACCCGCTATGTTCATTGTGTTCAGGTACTGCAACTTTAAAGCACATTTTGTCAGGCTGTAAGGTTAGTCTGTCGCAAGGCCGGTATACGTGGCGACATAACCAGGTTTTAAAAAGCTTAGCTGCAGGAATTGAAGATTTACGGAGGCAGGCAAATTTAGGAGGGTCTAAAATAAAGAGAGTTGCAATCAAGTTTGTTCAAGAGGGAGAGAAAGTTGGTAAGACAGCAAGGAGGCAAGGCAGCTTAGAGGATGCTTGTGATTGGGAAATGCAGGTAGATTTAGGAGGAAAGCTTGTTGTTCCCCAGGAAATAGCCAGTACAAAGCTAAGGCCTGACATAGTCTTGTGGTCTAGGAGTAGAATGAAAGTATATTTCATAGAGCTGACTGTTCCGTGGGAGGCTTCAGTTGAAGAAGCATATGAAAGGAAAAAGCTCAGGTATGTAGAGTTAGGGGCAGAAGCAGAGCAGCGAGGATGGAAAGTTAGGATTTGTCCAGTGGAAGTAGGATGTAGAGGATTTGTAGCAAGGTCTGTTGTCTCTTTGGTGAGGGAGTTAGGAGGAAGTGGACAGAGTGTGAGGAAAATAGTAAAGGACATGTCAGATGAGGCAGCAAGATCCAGTCAGTGGATTTGGATGAGAAGAAGTAATGGTAGCTGGGGGCCCAGCAGGGGGAGCACTTAGGATAGACAGACTCTTAGGAGAAGCAAGGAAGAAAATCCAGGAAGAGGAAGTGTTTTTAAGTGGGGGGTGTGGCCTGTGTGAGCCTCTTTGAGACCATGCGGTTAGTCCAGGTGAGTTGGCCTGTATTGTTTGTTTGTATTGTTTTGAATTGGTTTGTAGTGTGTCTTTGACTGTTTAGGTGAGTTTGTTTGTCTTAGGTGAGTTGTATGGTGAGTTGTATTGTCTTGGAGAGTGGGGGAGTAGGGGGAGGTAGAGCACAGCCTAATCCGGCGGGGGAGAGTTTAGCCCAACAAGGCATCTCTCCCTCACTCTACCTCCCTCATTCAAATTGGCCGCCACTTTCTGGGGGTGGGGAATCTGGTCCTACACAACAGAACAGAACTGTTTAGGGGAGTTTTTGTTTGCTGAATCTGCTAGTGTGTTTTGTCCGAGTTGATGATGTTGTTTGTGGTAGCATAGGCAAGATAAAGGAGAAAATAGTTGTGGTGTGAGGAGCAGTGATGGCTGGCATTAGGGGAGTGACTCTGGGACGCCAGTGATCACTGTCTAGCCTCCTGGAGGTGTCGTGGGACCAACTAGACAAAACACTGGTGAAAGGAGGTTCCCACCTGATGACCCCAAAGACATGTTAGTTATCATTGCTCATTAGTCTGTATAGCTAAATTAATAGTCATCATAGGACTTAGGATGTTAAGCTTAGGGAGCTATTCACTGAGTCTGGTGTTTACCTTAAATTGGACACAGGAACGTCTCTGTGGGTGTAAATCTTAGGTATGTCAATGTAAATGTTCTTTTTCAAAGCACACACCTCTAATCCTGTGAGACAAAAGCTTTCTTCCACCTTTTCTTGTCCCATTGTGTGAAGCAGGATTTGAGTCTTCTTGCTTCCATGTCAAGCTGTCTCATCAAGCTGTCAGTGCAGAATGTGGTTTGGCTTCTATTATCCATAAAAGCATAAGTTTCAGTCATCTTATTGCTTTTCTTTGATTTGACACACAGGCACAATTGACAGAACACGACTGTCTTTTCCGGCCACGTTAGCTGTGTGTTGTTTGACTAGTCCTGGTGTTTTCAGCCATGTCTTTCTGCCTGCTCTTAACTGCTTCATCATCCTCTTCTTTTGAGAAATGGAGCATGCTTGGGTGTTTCTTCGAGCAATATTCACATGAAGCTCTTCTCTTCTTACAATCTTTACTCAAATGTCCTGGGGTCAAGCATGCAAAGCACCATCCTTGTCTTTTAAGAAACTCTAACCTTTCCTTGGATGGTTGGTTTCTGATTTTGTGACATTCTGCCAGTACGTGTTGTTTTTCAGTATACACAAGGCTTCTCAAAGGCATCACTGTTGTAACGAGAGGAGCTTTGACCATTTTCTGGTGACTTTTCACTTGCAGCTGGTGCTACACTTGTGGCAAATGCACTCCCTTTGGCCTAGATGCTCTTGTCACTTTCACATTTGCAAAAGGTTTTCCCTTATCTTCATCATCCTTTATGTCACCGAACACGGGATCTGCAGCTATTCTAACTTTCCTGTTTATGGAGACAGTGTTTCTGAGGTTAGTTGGATTGTCCATTTCTTGAAGTTGGGTAATGTGTTGCATTGCGTTGCTACAACCAGTAAGAAACAGGGAGTAACTCTGAAGAGCCATGGCATCATCTGATTTTATTTGTGGCCAGCTGAATGCTCTGTCCATATAGGCAGTTGCAACTTTTAGTTTGTTACCATAGTGGTAAGTTAGTATTTCTTTGCTGCACTATAGCCTTGATAAGGACTCATATGCAAAGGCAACTTCTGACTAAGTCTCTGGGCTCACCTCTAGTGAACTGCTCGGGGTAATATAACCTGTCGCTGTCACTATCAGCTTTGTCATAAATGGTGTGTTCAAATGCCCTTATGAATACTTTGAACTCAAGGGGCTTGCCACTGAAAACAGGAATGTCTCTTTGGGGCAAATGTGACAGTCTCTGCTGTTTTACTAACATCTCAGTGACATCACTTTGTCAACATCACTTCACACAGATTTCCTGGACTTCTGTTGACATTAGCTTGTTGCATGTCAGCTTGGTGTTTCACATGCCATTAACTATTCAGTGTGTTCATCATTTACCTGTGGATTCTGGGTGCTTAGCTGTGGCTTCTCTGCTTAGATAGCCTCAGGATGAGCACTTACTCACTTTTACACTTCCCATGCTCAGTGTTTGCCAACACTTTTATTTTTAATGTAGAGGTGGCAGTAACTATCTCAAGGTCAAGCTGTTCCTTTTTTGCCTTTAATTTGTGTTCTTCAATGTCTAACGCCTGTCTCTGTTTCAAGGAGGTGTTCATTCATAATGTGCTCATTGCCTGAGGGTTTAACGCAAGATTACCGTGGTAACCAGGGTAAGCCCGGAACTGCCCTAAAACAGAAAAAGAAAAAAAGAAGAATGGAAGGGACCAACCCTGGTTACAAGAAAAAAGAAGTTTATGTAAGTGTAAACGCATAACTCACTGGTGACGCATAGCCAGAACTGTGTGTTGTTGTCATACATTATTGTTTTGTTTACAAACAGGGCGATCAACACACACTCCAGTTCACCCATCTGTGAGTGGAGTATGAATCTCACTTAAGTGGTCACAGAAATGCTTCTGCTCAAGGTTTCAAGTATCCAGCTAGTAAACTGTAGAAATGTCACTTCATGATTATGCAGGCAGCCAATGAATGACTGTAAACACAACAACCACTGGCATCACATCTGCTATAAACGTGTGTGTGATTGGAGAATGATCTCACAACACTTCAAGCTGCGAAGAAATGGGAAAACTTAATAAGTATAGGGTGAACATATTTTTTATCTGTTTTCTGATGAATGGGCCACTGGACCACGAGGAGGTTTTTCCTTTTTGTGGGTTCACTTTACACTGATGGTGAAGCTTCACAAATGATCTGGCTCCAGTCAGGTTTCATCAAAAGATGTGTTAATATATCCTTGTGTTTCTTTTACACCTTTTAAATAGGATCTGATATTACCACAGACTGGATAAGGGACGGAGGGTGGAGAGGTGACAGCTGCAAACTGGCCTTTCTTTCAAGCAATGCACAAGGCTCTGGGGCAGAGGGACTCCATCAGGCCCCTGAACATCATCGCCACAGTAGTTGACTCCTCATCAGACGTTGCAGAGGAGACTGATGGTGGCCCCAGTACCTCTGCTCCAGGGCCATCCCCTACCCCAAACCACCTGTCTGGGGGTTCCGAAAGGCCCAAACCAAGAATGAGATTCTAGATTTACCTAAACAAGTACACAGAAAGGCAGGAGAAGAGTCAGAGAGAGATGGATGAAAGGGAGGACGAGACAGAAAAGAAAAAGCATGACCAGCTGGACAAGCCTATTGGTATATTTGGAAACTTGGTGGAAAAGTAGCCATTCCTTTTTTCGTGTTTTGAATATTTTTGTAAAAATGAGTACATTAGTTATTTAACAGTTACCTCTTGTCCACTCTGTAAGGCAAAAGCCTGGAAGATGTTTAAGTCAGGCAGTCGGTCCCCTGAGCACCTTGGCCGTGAGGAAGGTAAAAGACGTAAAATAAAAAGTCCCAAACTTATAATTGTTCACAGCATTTTGTGTCGTCAAGGTAACGTGGTAAGTTGCGAAGTGCTGTCCCAATCCTATTTGCACCATTTTGAGCCCTTGCAGCGTGTCACACTCAGTCACCTACCAGCTGGATTCAGTTAAGCGTGTGAGGGTTCAGGGCTTAAAGTGCGTCCCAGCCGGGTTCATCACTAAAGTGTCCCCAGGAAACACCTTAATTGTTGTCTGTTGCCCACGGACAGAGAGCAGCATGTTCGTGTATTTGGTTGTGTTGTGAGTATTTGCAGCACATGTGTTGTCAAAATGATGAAGATGTTTTCTGAATGTGTTTGTTTTGGTGTAAATGAAATGAGTGGAATGCACAGAAACAAACAAATAAACCGTGTTATGGCTTTTGTTTTACAGTAATGAAACAATAAGAGGTCTTCCACAAACTTATAACACACTGAACAATGGTGCTGTAGCATTACTGTAAATAAAAAGCTTGATACAAATGATGAAAAAGAGCTCCAATCCATTATTTCTCAAATATCTAATGTTTGGTTCCTTGAGTTTAAAAAAAAAAAACTGAAGCTGCATGCCAAGACATCACAGCTGAGCTCTGCCAGGGGTGGATAAGGCATGCCAAACGATTCTTCCCAAGATGCCTTGCCAGAGCAGGTATCAGGTGTGATGTGGATGAGAAACTGCGGCCAAATGCAGAAGACCAGGCAGATTAGAAGAGGACTTTTATTTTTCTTTTTTAATTCTTCTGTGGCTTTTTCTGTTTGTACATTTTGTATTTTCACATAATAAATGGCAGCTATATTGCATATTTTTGTTGTCTTGCAGTAATGTCCTGTTGCAAATAAAGCATTTACTGCAGCAACTCTGTCTCTGTCCTCTTTTTTTCATAAACCGTACATTCTATAAAGCTGCTCTGAGATGGGCCATTCATTTTTTGTATTGAATTTCTGTAGCAAAAGAAACAAAATGCATGCATTTACTAAACTAAACCAAACAAAACAAAAATAGAGAGAGGCCTCAAAAGAACCTGCAGTGCAAAACACAATCTATGATCAATACAATACACTGTCTATTGTATAAGGGCAGACCTGACACACATAAAATAATGCAGTTTCTGTAATTCCATATGATGTTAGTGTTTTCATGACATTGTGCTTTGATTGATTAAATGTTCCTGTTGGAAAAGAACATGTGTGAGTGTTTTGGAAGAATTATTTGATTTTGAGACATGTTTGCAGTGTTATGTTAGACATAGTGTAGTGTGTTAGTGTATTATTGTATTTTGAAGATTAGTGTTGGTGTTCAGTTTACAATGTGTGATTTTGAGCATGAAATTAACCGTTTTGCCGATTGTGTGTTGTAGGTGTGTTTGTGCGTTAGGAAAAGTGTTAAAAGTATTGAAAATTTTGTTTTTGCGAAAACTGTAACAGCAATGGGATGTAATCAAAGTGCTGAATAATACAAGACATCTTTATACTGCATCAGGAGAGATAATTGTACTCAGCTGTGATGTATTATAAATCTTTTCCACTTTAAACCAGCAGATGGAGACACAAGAAAAAAACTGAAATCTGCTCCCTCACAGAATCAAAGACCTGTTGCTCTGTGCACAAGCTGTACACGTGACCAGTGAGGTTCATAATAACAACAAAAGTAACAATAATAATTCATCTTATGTGTAAATCAAGAATCCATTAATAAAAACAAGGTTTTTCTTGTCAAGTTGTGAAACATAACTTCATCTATGTCTACCTCTGTCCTAACTTGATCTTTTTATTCATTTTATTTTTTAATTTATCATGAAGGCTTATTAGAAAATTCAAAAGCCGTGACCCTTTGTCTTATTAGCACACAATAATAAAAATAATAAAAAGACATAAGCTAACATGTCTTATTAACAAAACTGTGACTTAATGATTTGTAGACTTTTGCCTTTTACAAAGTGTGTGTGTGTGTGTGTGTGTGTGTGTGTTTGTGTTCAATATAGCCTAATGTAGTGATGTGTAAATATGATCTACTATTGAATATCATGTCAAACAAAAATTGAGAATGAAGTTGATTGTTTGACAGCTGCTTCTCTGGCCTCCATTAGCTGCTTTTAAAGACACGAACAGACTCATGTTAAATGTAGCGTACACTTGTTTTCCAGCAGCGTCTCTCTCTCTCTCTCTCTCACCTTCTCTCTCTCTGTTTACTTTTCCACATGTTAGATAACTGTGAGATTCAAGGGTCAGCTCGGGAGAGTGATAGATTCACAGTCCTTTCTCTCACTCCGCCCACTGACAGAGAGCAGCAGGAGAAACTCAGTCGCTCCTTCGAACCACTGAAGGTAAGAAAAACTGCGTAAAATACGCGCACATACATAAAGCTGGATACTCGAAACGTTTGAGTGAATCGTGGGAAAGATTAGGGCTGAACCGATGCTTGCTTTACTTTGATTGTTTACAACGCAGAGTTGAACTGAACAGAGTTAAAGTGTGGTCTGATCGGGAGAAAGCGCGGTGTAGCTGCATGTAAAATCTCTGCGTAAATCATTGTGCCACTGGTGGCCTCATATTAACTCATGCTGAACATTGATTACGGTCAATATTTAAAGACATGTCAACACCAGTGCAAACAAACCGCAAGGAGCAACAGTCTCCCGATCACCAGGCTAAATAGAAAGCTGTTGGTTCTGCACACTTCCTGTGCTGTGCAGCTCCATGGATGTATCATGTTGTGACTTGAGTCTCACTGAGCTGGTTCCTCCGTCACAGAGCTGCAGTATGACTCGTCGTGTGGCAGTGGTTGGAGCAGGGAGCTCAGGTCTGGCCTGTATCAAGTGCTGTCTGGACGAGGGGCTGGAGCCCGTCTGCTTCGAGAGCAGTGATGACATGGGTGGTCTGTGGAGGTTTAAGGTGGGTCACACGATGTTGCAGGTTGGACTTTCTCACTCAGTCACACAGTGTAAGTGATGATGAGTGTTTTCTGTGTTGATATATGACGCTGCAGGAGAATCCAGAGCCAGACAGGGCCAGCATCTACCACTCTGTCATCATCAACACCTCCAAGGAGATGATGTGTTTCAGTGACTTTCCAATCCCTGCACACTTCCCCAACTACATGCACAACTCCCTCATCATGGACTACTTCCAGATGTATGCTGATCACTTCCAGCTCACCAAGCACATACGCTTCACTGTAAGGATCCCTCACTAACTTCTTTCATAGTATCTGAAAGGATGCACCATTCTCACCTTTCACATCTTAAATGTTTAGTTTGTTATAACATATGGTTAAATGTAAATGTGGTTGTGTGTGCAATTTGTTTATTGAAGTTTCCAAAATACAGAGCAGTCTACCAGGGAAAACACAGAGGTAAAACATCAAAGATAATGAAAGAGAAAACTAAAATGAAATAAATAAAAACATGTAATGTGTTAAAGTAATCCCTTAAGACCAGTCACCCCAACCCACCACCAGATAGGAGCCATTACAAAGGTATAGAAACATATAGGTACTAGAATTAGAATTAAACAAATTCCATACATTGGTACCAAAATTCAACACATACACTGACGCCCTTGTGTGTGTGTCAAGTATATCTTGCTGTCAGCCCACAGCAGATTGTGAAATATGACCCATGTAGCTACTGAAATCAGCCCAGCATCTTTCTTTTGAGGTTGAACATTATTTTTTCTGATGCCGTGTATGAGGAAATGTTTTTAAACCACATGGAGACAGGGGGAGGGTCTGCACTTTTCTATGACAAAGCAATCCATTTGTTAAAATCCATCATGGCCAGTTTTATAAACCGCACCTTGTGTCTTTTGGTGATAGGGATGTCAGATATGTCGCCTAGTAAGGGTAGTTCAGGTGAAGCAGGGATCTCAGTCTTCAATAATGTGTTGTCTCTCTGTCGCCCAGACCAAGGTGTTGCAGGTGAAGCAGAGGTCAGATTTTTCTCACTCAGGTCAGTGGGATGTTGAAACAATGAACAAGGACGGCAAAAAGGAGAAACACATTTTTGATGCAGTGATGATCTGTATTGGACATCACTGCCAACCCAACCTGCCTCTCCATGACTTCCCAGGTAAGACTTCCAGTACAGCTTGTAAATATCCCTCAGGTTACTCAACAGCAAGCGTTGCTGATTATGTTCCGGCAATATGTTATTTAAGAATCAACCTCTGACACACTATGAACCAGCCTGTAAAAGCAAACCTGCACAATGAGGTTATGCAACAGTGTTGTTGGTATAATTACTCAACCTTGGCCTGAATAACATTGATAGACCACAGCTGTACAATCTACTTCAAACACTGATCAAAGTCTCGTAGCAGAAGGAGCAAACATTTCAAACTAAATTAATCTTTCAAACAGACCTCAGATCAGAGCATAGTCTCTGGTAAAGAATCTTCTGCCTCATCTTTATGTGTGATTAATACAGTGTATCACATTTTTCAAAATAAAATAAGTCATTCCGCTATTTAATAATATTTGTCTTAAAGTGGAGTAAAAGTCAGAAGTTTGTGAAGAAAATAAGTACAGTTGTAGGATTCATGAATGATTCCAGAGAGGAATGGATTTTGTAGGTTTATATTTTGGTATTGTTATTCATTAGTGTTTGTGATATATCAATTAGTCTTTTTTTTTTTTGCCATCACTGATTGAGAGCCGGGTTACATGGATACAGATGGTGACATCCATAGTTGATAGACACACCTGTGTAATAGATGTTGGTAGGACCCAGTTGCAGCACCACACACCACAGGTACGATTGGTAATGACCTTTAAATTAAGAACAGCAGAGAGAACACACACAGGTGGGTATTAGGGGGGGGGGGGCGGGGGAGGGGGGGGGGGGGGGGGGGGGGATAGCGGGAAGGGGGTCCGGGGGTGGAGAGCTGTGGGTCAGGTGAATGGAGTGAGGTGACCACACACACACACACACACACACACACACACACACACACACACACACACACACAGAGGGGAAAGTTCGTGGACCTGAAGGCTGGGGCTGGCGGTGCCGAGTGTTAGGGAGCAGGCTGGAGACGTCGTCAAGGGAGCAGGAGGATCAGAACCAGGTGAGCAGTCAGTGGGGCAGACGAACCAGGAAGGAGCAGGCAGGCGGGTAATCAGAGTCAGACGTAGGATCGGGAAACCAGCAGGGAAGCAATCACGTTGCAATGTCGAAGCTGGAGAACGCCAAACAGCCACAGGGACAGGCAGACGGGGACCAGGAAGCGCACAGGCAGAACTCGTGGTTGGGGACAGAAGGCTGAGGCGTTTACCGGGGCAGAGACGAGCACAGTCGATACAGGGAAGTCAGTCCAGAGATGAATGCTGGAAAGTCTTGCATGATACTAAGAACAATCTGGCAAAGAGCGAGTGAACCGGGGATGCATATATATTCTGGCCTGATTGGAGATAGAGTGCAGCTGGGGGCAACAGTACTCAGGTAAATGTACTATGTTACTGTCCACCCCTGCTGGTTTAGCAGAGGCCATGTACAGCAGTAATCCACACAGTAAGAACAGCAGCATCACTCCAGCACTGAGGACAGAGCACACCACAGATCTGTATTGATCAATAAACAAGATTTTACACCAGGAACAAACAGTCAGTAATAAGACCACAGTGTGAAAAACATCAGACCTTTACACTAAGAAGCACTCCGCCACAGATCGAGCTGAGTTTCTCTGTCACTCTCACAAACAGAAAAACACACACCCCCATATAACCTTCTGTTCAGCATACTGTGTGTAGCAGTTACAAGTCTCTATCTTTCTTTCAGGCATTGACACTTTCACAGGGAAGTACCACCACAGCCGAGACTACAAGACTCCGGAGGAGTGGAGGGATAAAAAGGCTGTAGTGATTGGAATAGGAAACTCTGGAGGAGACATCGCTGTGGAGCTGAGCAGAGTCACCAAACAGGTCGAGATAGGGACATACTGTATATGTCTGAAGTGTTTGTGCATTTTACATATGTGATGGAAAGTTGCTTAGTTTTGTTTACGATGCTGGTCGTGTTGTCATAGTTGTGGCTTTCTCCCCTGTCGGTCATGATAACATTTTATTCAAAGTTTTGCTGCTGAGATCTGGGGATGACACATCGTGGGTGTAAATTTATATTCTAAACAAAATTATTTGGAGGTGAAAATGAAGATGAAGGCAGCCAATATACTATTATATTAATATGTTATTGATCTTTACCAACTTTACCAACTGCATGTGCATACAACTACAGTAAAGTAAGGTAAATGGATGATGTATATGATAATAATTAGATTAACTAATTGTTAAAGGTTTGTTTCAGGCACAGCTGCCTGATAGAGACAATATCAATGGTAAAGACAAAAAACAGGGTTAATTGAAATACTATAGAAACTAAATTTTACAGATGCAATCCCTTATTTTAAGTTCACCTTATAAATGCAACATTTCCAAATTTTTTTATTTCAGAGTCAAACACTTTGCTGGTATAATGATTGACTATTATCTTCTCTTCACAGCTTTACCTGAGCACTCGACGGGGAGCCTGGATTCTGAACAGAGTTGGGGACAATGGGATTCCCCTTGATTTGAATTTTAACAGGGCGATAAACTGTCTACAAAAAATTCTTCCCTTCAATGTTTTCTGTAGTCTGGGAGAGAGTCAACTCAACCGAAGATTCAATCACAGTCTGTACAATCTCAAGCCAAAGCACAGGTACTGCACCGGCATCTGCTTTCATCTATTACAGCCGCAGCGTAGCTTCACCAGACGGCTTTACAGCTACAGCCTTATGCTTTTTGCCCTTTAGATGGCAGAGCTTGAGGATGACAGTGTCAGTCAGTTGGTCAGGACTTGTTTTGCCCAGTGCATTAGTCCAGGGAAAGGTAGCTCAGCAACAAGCAACAACCTCCGCAAAATGTAGCAAACACAGAGGTTACACACTGCAGTTCCTCTAATGACCACTAGAGTCTGGCTCCAACAGTGAGTCAGTCTCCATAGACTCCCATGTTAAAATTACCAACTTCACAGCAGAAATAAACATGTTTACAGCCTGGTACAAAAACAGTTTTGGTCTCTAGAGCTAATTTCCTCCTTCATGACACCTGTTTATATAACTCACCTGTTTACATTTTATTAAGGACTAAAGTTGTGGAGAATTGAGGGCGTGGCCTCTTTGAGTGACAGGTGGGTGAGCATATGTTTGCCACAAACTGAAGTCTCAGCTCCACACATGCCCCTGCTCTTTGAATATTTTTGGATTAGCTGGGAGTTAGGGGCAGAGGTGAAGCAGCTCATAAAGAGTTTCAAAACGGCTCTTCAGAAACCTGTGGGTAACATCACTGTGGCTACATCCATCTTTATTTATTTATTCACCTTTATTGGTCCCCAAGCAGCTTTACTCCTATGTGACATCTCAGGACACAAATCGCTTTGTGCTAAAGAAATCTAAATCTAAATTTTTTTTATCTCATTCATGTTCACACTCATACTCTTGGACTATTATTGAGCTTGTCTCTAGCACCACCCTCAGGCCCAAATGTTAATATACACAACTTGTAATATGAGGTTCAGACTGCCATGAAATTTGCTGACGTTCATGTTCACTAAGGGTCGGATCAATTTTATGACCTTATAACAATTTCTTCAAGCATAAACTTGAGGACATTTTTAATTGGTTAAATAGTGTTACAAAAAAAAGATGAACATATATAAAACAAAGTAATAGACAGATGTTAACAGACAGATGCTAACATATAGCATATTGGTGAAATAGTGTGAAAGCATAGTGTGTGGTAATAGTATCTTTATTCTAATGATTGATTGTAGTATAGTAGCTACAATAATAATCATTATATAATCATTCAATATACCATAACATATTAGTGACTATTCTGGTAATTGATATGTATCTGGCACTGAAGAGTGAGGACAAACTTTAAAAGACTCACTGTTCGTATGGATATATAGTATGGACATGGTCTTTCTGTACATCACGCCACTAGAAGTGTTTCAGACTTTTTGTCTCATCTTAATTAAAATGTTTGCAGTATTCATCAAATTGTTCAAACATGACTAACTGGTCTGAATTTAAATCTCAGGTTGTTCAGCCAACATCCCACAATGAACGATGAGCTTCCAAACTGCATCCTATCTGGAAGGGTTCAGGTGAGACCCAACATCTGCAGGTTTCATGGATCCAGTGTGGAGTTTGAGGATGGGAGTGTAGTGGAAGATGTTGACCTGGTGGTAGGTTTAATTTTTAAAAGTGTGCACACACCCACACAAACTCTCAGTCCGTCTGTGCCTTTGCTAGCAGTAACATCCTGTGTGTGTGACTGACACGAGTCGCCTGTCCTGCAGGTGTTTGCCACAGGTTACAGGTTTTCCTTTCCATTCCTGGCCTCACACGTGGTCTCAGTGTCTGAGAACAAAGCATCTCTGTACAAGTATGTGTTTCCTCCTGAGTTGGACCGACCAACACTGGCCATCATTGGTCTAGTGCAGCCACTGGGAGCCATCATGCCCATCTCTGAGATGCAGGCCAGATGGGCCACACGGGTCTTTAAAGGTACTACAGGGCTTTCAAAAGATGCAGAATTTTCTCTCACTCTGTCCTTTTCAGAAGAAGAGGATAAATCCTTGTCACAATGTCTCCCTTCAAACAGGCTGTGTCAAGCTTCCCTCAGTGACTGCCATGATGAAAGATGTCCAGTGCAAGCAGGAGACCATGGCTAAAAGGTACTGCTGTGGATTTACTGAACTGTGTCGTTAGTTACAGATGTTGGAGTTGTAAAGCACCAAATCTTGTTCTCCACAACAAAACCAGCTCAGGTCTGTTTCTCAGGTACGTCACCAGTCAGAGACACACCATCCAAGTCGACTATGTCAGCTACATGGATGAGATAGCGGAGCTGGTGGGGGTTCAGCCCAACATCCTGAGGCTGCTGCTGACTGATCCCAGGCTGGGTCTGAACCTGATGCTTGGTCCCTGCACGCCGTATCAGTATCGTCTCAGAGGGCCAGGAAAGTGGGCCGGGGCCCGTCAGGCCATCCTCACTCAGTGGGACAGAGTGGCTCAGCCCATGCAGACCAGGCTCTGTGATGAGCCCAAACCCAAGAGATCATTTAAGTGGCCTCTGATTGGTTCAGCTGCTGCTGTGGGCTTGGCTGCATACGTTCACAGGAACAACCTTCCAGCTTTCCTCCAAGATCCCACTGCACTGCTGGACAAGATAAAAGTCTACCTGCCTGCACAGTGATGAGATTCACACTCAGCTCTGATCACTCTTTCAACACCTGTACGTGTGCATTTATGTCATTTCTACACTACTACCCAACTCCTTAAATGGACAATACACTGAGATACAGCATGTCAGTCAATGATGGCACCACATGGAGGCTTTAAAGGCCAGCTGGTGATATAAGATGCTAACGGCTGTTATTCAGTATACCACCCTGTGTGATTGCTAGTATCCCAGTCTGCGACCTCTCACTTCTTGACAAAGCTATTTGCTCATAGGTGATAAACAGCTATACATCTACAGTTTTAACTTTTATTCATAGTGGAGTGATACATGTATGTGTGTAGTCTTAGTTTCTTTTCATTCATCTTTCCAAGTATAAACTTCATTTTAACATAGATTATATCACAATACTCTGCATTGTGCCTGCCTCGTATAGTTCTCAACAAATCTGATCAATCTGGATTTACAGAGTTAAAATGATGGATATCAGGGTTTATGGTGCATTACTTTGGACAGGAAGTATCTAGTTTTTCATTTTGTACTTAATATATCAAAGTGTCATTTAACTAAAAACAGTGCAAGAACAGCCAGAAGTCATGCTTTTTATTATGGCTTTGTTTACGGCATTGGAACATGAAGATGAGCTGAGCTGTACTTTATGTCTTTTGCCTGGCGACAGTCAGAGGAGCCATATTGTTTTCAGGTTGTCTGTCCATACGTCTCATTCTCATGGACACAATAGCTCAATAACACCTTGACAGAACTTCTTCAGATTTGGCACAAACATTCACTTGGACTCAATGATGAACTGATTAGACTTTGGTGGTCAAAGGTCTAAGGTCAAGGTCAATGTCCTCATTAAACCCTTTTAGCCATAATTAAGACGTAACACAGCAATTATGACAAAATTTCACACAAATGGTTCATATTTTATGAATCTGGCTAAACAGGGATGTCACCTGAAATTAGTCTGAGTGGAGGAGGCAGACAGCCACCAGGAGGTGATTCTAGTCTTTCTGCAGTTATCTGTCAGTTGTATTAATACGTATATGTGTGTGGATATACACAGATACAATTGCATTCTTGTATAAATTCATAGAGGTTGTAAATCACAGGCAAACATAATCTACAATTCAGCAAATGAATAATAAATAATGAATGAATTATATAAATTGAATGTGTTTTCTCAATGTTCTTTCATGGAGACTCCTCTAGAAAATCTACAGAACTATATTATCACATTATCTTTTCTTCTCTTCTTAAAAACTAAACTGGAACTTGCCACACCGACATTTCAAACACAGTCCTGTAAACACAGCACAGCTGAAAGTTCAGCAAGCCTCTCACGGACAAACAGAGGAGTCACTAATCCAGGATGTACCAACAGGGGTGTAGCACAAAACTCTGGGCCCTATTCAGACGCAGTCTCTGCTCTCTTGATCCATGTATCTCACACATCTTTAAAAAAATGTTTTACAAATAATTGGGCAAACAATAGTACACATGGATCTGCAGTGGTTATTATTAGGGTAGTCACTAACGAACTGTTTGTACCATATTTAGACACTATATGAGCTCACCTTGTCTCACAACCTCCGTAACATCAGGAGATGATGAGGGACGTGTCGCTGCTCCACTCTCTGTGGCTGTTCCTGAAACTAAGGACCATGTGTTTCATGATGTTAAGCTTTGCTAGGTATTTTATTTATTTTATAGATATAATGTCATATGACATTGTAGGGGATAATGCTGATTAAATTATGATATTGTTTATTCGTGATGCCACTGAAGGCAACACTGGCCCAGCAGAAGCACAACTTCAGCCACGCTAACCTCAGCTTAATATGACAAAATTGGAAACACTGCTGGAGCCTTGCAGGTAAACTGATTTTCCTTGTCTAAACTATTTTATTTTCTCTGACCTCAACGCGCGGAAGAAGAACACAAACCTTTCATGGTTAAAGGTAGAAACAGCTCTACATCCCCAATTCAAGGACATCAGGTGCCTGCCCAAAGCACAGAGGGAAGAGGTGTGGCCAAGGCTGACTCAGATGCTGAAGGACAGAGAAACTGCATCACAGCCCTGCAGAGAGGAAATGGAACCAGAGCCACCGAAGAAGAAGATGGCTGTCCTACCGATGGGGTCAGAGTCAGAGTCTGATGAGGAGGCACTTTCCACAGACCAAACTCTGGACAGGTATAGGGGCAGAGCCCAGCGTCAGCGTAGACACATGTCCACTACAGCGGTGGTCATGGTAGGCTGGCCCTGCCTCAACAGTGCCATGTGAGAGACTATTTTCTTTGACAAGCCGCATTGTGCAGAAGAAGAGGTCAGCTCTGTCATCTGAAAATGTCAACAAGCTAGTCTGCCTGAGTAACTGGTAAAAAGAAAAGCAGACTATGAACTGGTTGACTGGATTCATGTATATGTATAACATGTTCACACAGTTTCAAGTAATGTTACTCAAGTGTGTGAAAAGGGACTGTTCACTTATTTTCTTTTAAGACACATATGACATTCAGTTTATTATTCAGCTTTCAGCCTACTCAGTGTAATTTTGGATTTATTTGGGTGAAATGTTACTTTACAATTTACAGTCAAGCTGATTATATTTACTTCGCAGCAGAAGTTAATGTAGCTGTTCTTCATGTGCTTGTCTTCTATTTAAGTTGGCAGTTCATTATGGTTGTTGTGGGCAATGCCAAGCACTCTCTGAGACTTTTTAGTCTGTCTAATGATGAGGCACTTGAATCAGTTAACCCGCTGCACAGTTATAGAGTAGAGCCCAGTTTCAGCTTAGAGGCGTGTCTACCACTCATTCATTTTCTTATTCAACCTCAAAGCCTACTCAGTGTAACATTCATTTGGGTAAAATGTCACTTTACAAACAATTTACAGGCAAGCAGTTTACATTCACTTTGCAGCAGAAGTTTTGTACTGGATGTGGTTGTCTGCTGATTAAGTTTGCAGTTTATCGATGTTGTTGCTCAGCAAATTAAGAGGTTCTTATTGACAATTAATTACAACTAAGCTGAGATGTAAAATAAAGTTAAAAAAAGCTCTAACCAAAACCATACTTGTACTGTTTTATCTCCCACCAAAATACAAGTAAATAGTATTTTAAACATATGATTAATCATGATTAATCACAGCCTATTTATGTGATTAACTTGATTATTTTTTAAATATTTTTTAATCAGTTGACAGCACTAAAAATATCATCACTTGATTTTATCCTTATAGACATTTGAGTTAAATTGTGTCATAATTAGAGACTGAATTAGTGAGTTATGGTCAAAAACATGTGTTTTGTGAGATCACGGTTTACCAGAAGTTATGAAATTCCCTCTTCTTGATATATTGCATTCACAAGAACATGAGATCACTGTGACCTTGAATTTACATCTGTTTCCCTCCACAGCTGGGACTCAGCACATACCGATCGAAAGCCTGTTGAAATCTGCCCTTGGAGATCACCGCAGGTGCTAACTTTCTGGGTTTTGTAAAAGCACTAAACCACACTGTTCAAATTCCTACCGAAGCTTAGATACGCTCAGAGCTTTTCACTGTTTACGAGAAAAAGGAAGAAGAGTTGCTACGCAGCTCGGCCTCTGCTGATGACATTGTGCTGACTTGAGTTGTGGTCTTCAAGACCTGAAGACCACAACAACACAAAAGGTCCACAGCATCGTCAGAGCTGGCATGCCACAAATGAAAAATGTTAAAGTAGAATGGACAGACATGCCTTGTTTTGCTGACACCTTAAATGAAGTATTTAAGGATCTGAAGAGGAACAACGAGCTGTTGAATGTTCTCAGAAAGTGTCAGAACATCGTCAGGTTCTTCAAGAACGATTCTGAAGCTGAGGAGAAACTCAGAGAGATTCAACGCCAGCTGCGTATGGGACAAGAGGAGCTGACCAATGGTTTGCTTGGCTGCACATGCTTCAGAGACTGCTTCAGCAGTACCAAGCCATGGTGATGGTGCTTGACGAGAGAGGCAAGACAGACTTAATTCAGAATGAAGAAGATTAAGACAAACTCAAGAACATCATATCTGATCTGGAGCCTCTGAAGGAAGCCGTGTCCAGGATGAAAAATGGATTCGAGACTATTTCTGTCATGTTGCCACTGCTGAACACACTCATGGAAAAACTTGACAAAGACAAAACGGAGAAACAATGATGTTGCCCAGATTTTACTCTCAGAAAGGAATTCGATGAAGTCAACACCACCAGCTGGCTTCCAGCACTTTTCTCGATCCAAGATACAAAAAACATCTGACAGACAAAAACAAAAAACAAAGTGATGGATAAAATAATGAAGGAGCTCACCACAGGTCAAACCTGGTCATACTCTTGCTCTCAAAGTTCAAAGTTGAGAGACGTACTGGACAGATACATGGTCTATGATACATGGCCTTTGGCTTGGTGGAGGTACAACGGAATGAATCATTTTAGTGAATTAAGCCAGCTGGCTCTGAAGAACCCTGGGGTTGTCTTGACTGCTGCGCCCTTAGAAGGAGCCTTCTCTGGGGCAGGTGATCAGTTCTGCAACCAAAGGAGCTCCATCGAGCCCGAAAACCTCAACATGATCCTGTTCCTCAACAGCAGTCTTAGAGACAAACTCACTGCTCTCTTTCAGCTGATAAACACACACACACACACACACATATTTTACAAAGACACTTTCCTGGAGGAAATACAAAGTAAATTAACTTTGAAAATACATAAGATAGTGAAACTAGAAACCACTACCACACAACTGTCTGAATTTCTTACCGAGGAAAACATTAGATGCTCAGATGAATGCATCGGGTCAAAGGTTTTAAAATTTTATAAATCAACACTGAAGGGAAACTCAGTGTCTCAACTCTGACTGATTTGAAACTGTAATCTCTGTACAAAAGCATCTTCATTTGTACTTATCCACCATCATCCCTGCTCTCCACCATCTTCATCCCTGCTCTCCACCGTCATCCCTGGTCTCCACCATCAACATCCCTGCTCTCCATCATCATCCCTGTTCTCCACCATCTTCCCTGTTCTCCACCATCTTCCCTGTTCTCCACCATCATCCCTGTTCTCCACCATCTTCCCTGTTCTCCACCATCTTCCCTGTTCTCCACCATCATCCCTGTGCCAAAGTCCTCAAAGATCACCTGCCTCAATGACTTCAGACTTGTTGCCCTGACATCTGTGGCTATGAAAGCATTTGAGCATAGCATCCTATCATACCTGTAACCCGGCACCTTCTCCTGTTGGATCCATATCAATTCGCCTACCAAGCCCACCGGTCTGTTGAGGATGCAGTCACCACAATAATGTGACTTTAATAATCAGTATTTTTTTTTCTGTTAGCAGCAGAGGTTGTGATATTCTCCTTTCAAGATCATGTCATATTTTAATTAGAACTGAAACCAATGATCACTTTCATTAATTTCCCAATCATTTTATACTCATACATATTCAAATATCTTGTTTTATTCAACCAACTGTCCAAACCTACAAAGACATGAGACTACTGTCATGAGCCAATGAAGTGTCAAACCAGAAAATATTTGACGTTTGTGCTTTAAAAACGTCTCAAATGATTAATTATCAAAGTAGTTGCTGATCAATTTTCTGTCTTTTGACTAATTGTTGCAGCTCTAGTTTTTAAAGGATTTATTTGCTCATTTGTTGTTTCTATCAATGCTAAAAGTTTATTAACGAGCAGTTTAAAATGTTTAATTTTGTCCACAGTTACACACAGAGGATGT